GGGGTTTGTTATTTCCCTTTGGCAATATGCGAATTACTTTCTGTGTTCACTTCACAATATTTTACTTTTTAATTCCTATTCTACATTTTCATGAAAATAAGCATAAATCTGGAAGCACGCTGCTATAATATCTTTATAAATGTTGTGCATGTAGTATTTTGCTATGGTACAGATTGGTATTGTTAGGCGATGTTGATATGAAAACTATTTTAGTGACCTGTCCATTGCAAACCATACTATATCACCAAACAGTATGTACATATTTTTTACTTACGAGGGTATGTTTTATACATATAACCCGCCCTGCTAACATATACGCTGATATAATATATCAAACTCCTCACAGTGATTACCTTCCTTTGCAAACTGATAAGGGGAGATCACTGCGTAGGAGATTGATAATATATCCGAGTTTGAAACAGAAGAATGAGATTCAAATCTTGCTCGGACCATAAATGGTCATAATGATAGATGTTTTAATGATATATTCGACCGCTCAAAATATACAAAAATGCATGCATGTAATATATTTAATTATTTAACCGAATGTCTGTCGAAATTTAAAAAAAATTATTCTCGGATCAAAAACGTCATTAAAGAATCCCTTTAACAATGTACACGCTTTCTTACATTGCACGGTATTCACGTGCGAAATGGATTACACGTGTCCATAACATACAGTAGTAATTGAGTGAATCGAAAGGATTTTTTTCTCAATATTTGTTTTCTATAAATAATTACTTTTTGCGACATATATTTTCATTCAATAGACTATTTTTGCTTACTTTACATTTTAAAAAAAGAGCCTTTTTGTAAATATATAATGCAATTTATTAAATGAGGGCATAAATAAAAACACAAACATAGTCTATGCCATCGTTCATCGATACAGATCCGAAAAAAAAGGAAGATCCTTCAGGTTTGTCAAACCTTTTGTTCACTTTACACAATTTATTGTGTTATTTCTGTGGAACGCGTGCAATAGTTTTGAAACGTGTACATGGCATACAGGGACAACGTAACACAAATATAAGCATAGATAATTCTAAGTATTCAAAGGCTATATTCGATACTATTTGGTATTTTAACCCGGTATTTAGACCAGATGAAGGAAATACGGTGAACAAAGTATCAACTTTTGTTTTCTTTAAAATGGACAAAACGGTTTCGTTCGTTTTTGCGATATCAGTTTTATTTCTGCAAAATTTGTTTAGTACTAGGGAAACTTTGACGTCAAGAATAAAATCACGGGATATTTGTCACGCACACAGATATATTGTTCCCATGGAGGCTTGGCGTCAAAAGGGGAAAACTATAATGTATATTCAACGTATATGTGAACAGGAAACAAAGAGCTTAAACAGCACGAGCAAGGTCAGGTAAGCTTTGTTTACATTTTTTGTCTTATTTTAGCAAGGGCGGCAACCCTTTTGTTCCTCTTTTTTCGTCAGAGAAGGGGGAAGGCCCCGGGTGACAGTGTTTCATTCACTGTCATGTTGGGTTCGGGCCACCGGTCACTTTCTTTAGAACCCATGATATTGATGTGTGTATGTGGTCTCATGGTCGGAATTCTGTAATAAAATGAACACGTTTCAATGGTGTTTTGGTACGGAACCGTTTTGTGCAAAATCTGAATGTTGAACTCGTAATAGGGAGTTTTCACTTTGTTATTACAGTTTAAAAAAAAAACAACCTAATAAGGACTTTTTCACTTTTCCTTTTTAAATGCACTTTGTAACTTCTAATAAGGTTTTTATACAAAGAACAAATAACAATTTTATTTCTCCTAATAAGTTTTTAAAACTTCAAATGAGTGTATGCAAAGTCCTTATTAGTAATATATATATAAATGTGAATCTTTGATGTTAAAATCGTGAATTTATGAAGTTAAATTTGTGAATTCACGAAGATGAAATCCGGAATTCATGAAGTTTAAATGCCCCCCACAAGTCTTTTGTATGTTTATGATAATTAATCAGGTCTAGGATTAACTTCATGATGTTTATGGACAGTCTGTAAATTTTTGGACGATCCATAATTTTACAGATTTTCTTATCTGTAAATTTACAGACATGAAGTAAGAAAAATAGTAGAAGTTTCATTAAAATTCAAAACCACAGGTTAAAATGAATAAGGTTACGTATTATATGAATAAATGTAACAGTATGATAAGATTCAGAACAATTTGATGACTTTCAATTTTCACTTTTAAAAAATATTTCAAAATCATCATGCAAAGATGAAACTCACCCCATTTCCTTTGTAAATATAAACAATCAATATAACAACTTTTCTTAAGCTGCGGATTTTAGTGTAAAACTAAAAACAGCAAATTTTACATTGAATATCTGTAAAATGGATTGAAAAATCTTAAAAATTCTAGATTATAAATTTATAAATTTAACAGTCCATAAATATCATGGAATCCTAGACCTGATTATGGTCTGCATTGTGTCCAGATAGTGTTTTTAATATGAAGTATTTGATTAATATATGCTATGTTACATACACTAGTCTACCATGTGATCTACCACGTGACAAAGAGAGAATACCTTGATGTTTTTTCTAGAACATTTTCCTCGTTTTAGACTTCACTTCTGGCAAACTGTTGCATTACTTTCAACGACATCAAACTATAAGAAATAAGGTACATGATATCATTTTTATGAACTCTTCTCAGGTGGATAACCATTAGAATTTCAATGTTTCTCTTTTTTGTATTTCATTCGAAAAAGCCTGTTTGAAAACATGTGATATAAAATATTTAACGGCGTTGCGACATATACCGGCGACACACACATCCCACTATGCATACTGTATTTTAATTGGGCAAGAGCCTTCACATGGTGGCCCAATATGTTTCTGTAGTGGGTCAGTGGCAAACCCTTTTTTGGATTTTGCATGTGGATTTTTTTTCAGTTTTATAAGAGTTATTGCCTTTGACTTAGTATGAATATGCAATTTCCAGCATGTTCATGCACAGCTTTAAAAGTATTTTACCAGTAGTCTGAAAGTTTACAAGGATGTTGGTCAGCATGTGTACTTATGCACCTTGGGGTTCGCTTGTGGATTTATTAAGTATTTGTAAAGTTCTTGTCCTTTACTTACTAAAAGATTTTTAGTTTTCAACTTGTGGCACATGTATGTCAAAAAATATTTGACCTAGAGTCATAAGATTGACAAAACAATGGTAGTGAGGGCACGCGTGTCCTATGGACACATTTTTAGCTCGACTATTCGAAGAATGTGGAGAGCTATTGCAGTCGCGTCGGCGTCCGTGTCCGCGTCTGCGTTGGTTAAAGTTTTTTGTAAAGTCAAATATCTCAATTATTGCTTGAGATATTCAATTGAAACTTACAATACTTATTCATAGTAACAGTGTTCATCAGTTTGACAAGTTGGATAACTCTGTCTGCAATATTTGCAGAATTATGTCCCTTTGAAACTTAGAAATTTTGGTTCAAGGTTAAAGGTCTTAAGAACTATCAAAGATATATACTTGAAACTTTACACATGTACTTAGGGTCATAACTGAAGGTCACATCTCAAGATCCATTACTTTGCCATGTATTTTGGCTGAATTATGCTCCCTTTTGTACTAAAATATCTCCTTTTCTTGGTTATGTTTTACATGCAAGTTTTGCATATCTCTGAAACTATTAAAGATACAAACTTGAAACTTCATATGTATATTTGTGGTCATAAATAATGATCACTGAACAGCACTCATATCTGTGTCACGTATTTAAACTGATTTATCTCCCCCTTTTTTACTTAGTCTCTTGGTTAATGTTTACATGTAAGTTTAACATATCTCAATTACTGTCAGAGATTTTGATTTGAAACTTCACATATGCATGCAGGGTCATAATTGTATGTCACTCACCAAGTTTCATAACAGTATCTTGCATTTAGGCTGATTTGTCTCCCCTTTTCTACTTAGTCTCTTGGTTAATGTTTACATGCAAGTTAACTATCAAAGATATTTATTTAAAACTTCAAATGTGCATTTAGGGTCATAAGTTACCAAGATCCATAATTCTATTTTGCATTTAGGCTGATTTTTCTCCCCTTTTTCAACTTAGAAATTCATGGTTAATTTTTTGCTTGTAAGCTGTTATCTCCAAAACTACTGAAGGGTTTGTGCCTTTTTAGGACACATTCATAATAATAAAGTAGTGATTTACTTGATACAACATCTTAATAACAAGCCTCTGTACCTTTTCGGACAATTCTATGTTTTCATAGGTAAACATTATTATACTCAATAAAACACCCTTGTGACAACTTTTTCGAATAGTCGAGCCTTACTGTCCTCCGACAGTTCTTGTCTAGCATTTATAATAGTTAACCACAAATAACGAAATCAAGGGGTCCGTCGAGATGCTTTGATCTGTTGTGTATGTGGCTTATTTTGGGGGGTTAAAAGACTCGAAGACCACCGAGACAATAAAGACATCCTACTCTAAATACATGTATATAAAAAGGTATTGCTGGTTTGGGGTCTTTTTCTAAATGCATTTTCAAAGCATTGTAGTATCGATAAACTTGTCTTCATTGATTGGAGTTTTTACACTGTGTTACCTCACATTGTTTAGAATTTTAGAATAAAGTTTTCTTCATTAAAAGTATTACAATGTTACATATTTCAGATCGTGTGTTTGTAGATATCAGTGGGGTAGATATGAAAACTGTAGAGAACGCGTTGACAGACACTGTAGCACCGGGAGGAAGGTATTTCCCGCCAAATTGCACATCAAAACAGAAGGTTGCTATAGTGATACCGTTCAGGGACCGTGACAAACATCTCAGGTTATTTCTACGTCACATGCATCCATTTCTGCAAAGACAACAGCTAGAATATAGAATATTTGTTATAGAATTGGTAAATATTTCATTAAGATAGAAATAGTATGTTTGAATGTATATGATTTCAATCCCCTACCGGTTTTATCACACAAAAATCAAAGATAAAGCCTATACCAATATGAAACTTGGTATACTTGCTTATCATGACAAGGTGCATTTTGTAAGAAAAGGGACATAATTTTGAAAGAGCTATGCCCATTTTTAACTTATTTGTTGTCAAAATTGCTTATTAGGTGGAATGATTTCATAACTGTTTAAGGTAAGATCATGTAACTTAGAATTCTTGATGATTGTGACAATGCACAGTTGTACGACTGCGGGCATTATCACTTAAGCAATAAGTTTAGGAGTATTTGCCGTTTTAGTTGGAATATTAATACATGTTGATTATCGTTAACAGACGATCGTTATCGCCGCATGCTTGTATATATTTCATCGGTCTACCTATCATCTATCAGTCCATACCAAACAATCTGGATTATGCCGTAACCTGCAATGTACAAAAGCTAGGTTATATGAATATAGGGATATATGGTATTGTGCGTGTCATTTATTTTTTGTTTTCATTCGTACACCCGTCTGTATGTCTTTTTATGCCCATATCCTTCCGTCCGAACATTGTCCGGTCCATAATTTTTCATTTGTGTATGGATTTTAAAATAGTTCAGTATAAATGTGAATCAAATTGGGACAATGTGCCATGTGCAACACCAAGTTAAAATAGTTTGGCATCAATGTGTAAGACATGACGATGCTGTGTTGCGTATAGGGGTCAAGTATCTAGTTCAAAGGTCAGGGTCACACATATATGTCAAACATGACGTGTGTGAATATATTGTCTTCTTAAAATTTGTACACATCATTGTCCTTCATGGAAGTACTTTGAAATAATTATGCATAAATATGCTGCTTATTTAGATGATATGCAATGAGTAAAATTTAGCTCAGCAGCTCAAAGGTCAAGTTTATACTTGCATGTCAAAAGTCGTGATATCACTGTACATTTATAGTCATGTCCAGTTCTTGTCTTTTTGTCATTCACTGAGAGCTTTTGTAATAACTTGCTTTAAGATATGGCCTTTTAAAACAATTCGTGATGAGTTTTTAGCTTAAAGATCAAGGTCATACTAGGACTTCTAAGTTTTACAGTTTCATAAAAGTACATTGATGATTACATCCAGTCAGCAGTTCTGTCATCCATTAATGCATTTTGAAATAACTTGTCATTTTTCTGAGGCACAATAGGAAATCTTTTTTCATTCAAAAGTCAGGTCGATAGTTTAAAAGATGATAGTTTTACATGGTCAAAATACTACATTGATGGTTGTATCTAGTCATATTTTTGTCATTATTCACAGATTAAAAAAGTAAATATATACTTAGGCTGCTTTATTCTTGAAACGCTCTTTTTACTGTAATCATGCAACTTTGATGAAAGTCAATATTAGAGTTCATTTACTTGGCCCTGCTTGCGGAGAATTTGTCTTGTTCCATTTAGAGAACTCTCTAGGTGAAGTTATTTGTCAACTGTCAAACAAGTCTGAGACAAGTTTAATTTTTGTCAATTTACATATTTGTTTGGGTTTAAGTCGAGAGTGAGACAATATTACACCGACCAGGAAGTGCATATTTCTTAAGCTATCGTTAAACATCGGCTCTTTCCGTATACTTCGGATAAGAGTATTTTGCAAATAGCAGAATAGCTGAGGAGATCAGATTGTTTCCAAAGGCGACCAGAGTTCATGGGACCTAGGTACCACGTGATCTCGTTACCACGTGACCTCAGATCAGCTCCCCATGTAATCGCGTGTCAGCTTTAATGATTTAAATAGAATGCCTGTCCGTCTGTTTTTTTACAAACATTATAAACAAAATGTATTACTTCGAAACACCCAGTTTCTTCCGTGAAGATTGGCGTTTTTTTTTTGTTTTTTTTTTTACTTTAAACCCAATGATAGCTTTTGCAACTTTGTCATTCAGGTACGTACGGTGAAGTTTAACCGAGCGATGCTTATGAACATTGGCTTTGTTGAGGCGTTGAAACTTGACAATTTTGATTGCTTTGTCTTTCACGACGTCGACTTACTTCCGGAAGATAACAGGATTCCATATTCGTGTGCACATATGCCGAGACACTTGTCTGTAGCTGTGGATAAATTCAAATACAAGTAAGCTCACGGATATTTATTGTATTGTATTGTATTGTTTGGTTATTTATTGACTAGTTTTCATGACAATTTAAACACTTATTACCATCCTAAACAGAAGTACAACGTTTTGAATAAATGGTGTGTGCGTGTGGGTGTGGGAGGGGGGTTCTTCAGCATCGGCACTGGATTTTTATGTAACTTGCTAGTAACATTGTCCATGGCTCAGAAGGTTGAAAATCAAGGCCACCACGGCCTTTAGTCAGACAATAATCTATGTAACTAGATCATGTTTAAAGGCACATAAAGCCTCTGAAACGGATAAATCTTTCCTTATTAAGAAAGGGCAAACATGAATTTTAGTATGTTTAAATAATGGCCTACGAGCCTGCATGTAAGAGGCTTATTACCTACAGAAAAAGGCGCTGAATGTTAAATCATTCGTCATAAAAGTAACAAAATGTAAACAAAGTAGTATTTGACTACCATACCAAATGATTAATCTCTATAACTGAACTTATTCTTAGAAAGAAGCAGGCGTAACATATGATGCAGGTGAATGGTCAGTGAGAAACCTGCTGGAAACTGTAACAGGGCACCAAAAACAAAAATTTATCAGGAAAAAAGTATTTCTGGGGAATTATGGTCCTTTCAGCCTACAGTCCTAAGATTCGAGGTGTAAGTTGGTCATGAATAGGAGATGAACCTTTTTGATTGAATAGTCATATCTCGATGTTCCAGCTTTACTAGTGGAGGAAGACCTCAGGTGCCCTTCAGTGTTTATTTCAGGCACGAACGGGCACTGAGTAGAACCATCGACGTTCCGTTAGCTAGCTGGATAGCTTCCTAACATGAAAGAACCCAAAGCTCCTGTCGGGATTCGTACCCACAGAGGTCAAGGGCAAGTGTTTTAAATTTTACCTAATTGGTTTCCATGAGGAAGTCATACATGTTTCACATACCATCTTTAGTGATACGTAATCTTTGCCCTTAAAGGAACAAACCTATTTCCGACTTATTTCTATTTTTAGATTACCATATCAGGATATTTTGGGCGGAATTTGTGCATTGTCAACTGAACATTTTAAGAAAGTGAACGGGATGTCAAATATATTCTTTGGATGGGGTGGTGAAGATGATGATTTCCGAACAAGGTTTTATTTCCATTTTTATATTGCAATCTTTATTATTTGTATGCCCCTATAATTATTTACCCGCCCGTCCGTCCGGGTGTATGTCCATCCGTCTGTATGGCCCAAACCGGCAAGTTGGATTTATCTTAAGTTCTACCTGTACCCATGGCTTCATAATTTACACACTTACGAATCAGTACAATGTACATTATATTGACAAGGTAATTAACTAAAGCATCCATTTTCCCAAGCTATAGACCTTTTCAGCGCATTAGAAATGGATATGGTTAACCTTAATCGGCAAGTTGGATATAGTCTATTAATGTTTGGAAAGTGATACCTACTATTGTGTTCCAACGTTTTATGTAGTAAGGGGTCACTGGGGTCAATGTCACTGTTGTGAAATATTAAAATATACGATTTTGCTCATACAGCCTTTATTTTTAAACTGATGTCTTTCTTCGGGTTTAGATAGGGACCATTTGGATCAATGGGTCAAGGTCACCAATTTAAAAAATAGATTACATACCTCAGTTGGATCTTTACATTTTTGTTGAGATTGGAGTCGATGGGTTCAAGGTCAATATCTTGCCAAATACGTTTTCGTTATTATTATTTAAATGGCAGGTGAAACAGGATTGGCTACCACTTCAACTTTAATATTTGTTCATTGTAACAATTAACCTAAGGACAATTTATTTTTCATAATTACCTTGATGCTGGACATATATGAACATGTTTAACTTACCATGTTCATATGTTATTTATAAATGATCTGTATATTTTTCAGAGTATATGCAAAGAAGTTAGTTGTTGTTCGACCATCAGTAAAGGTTGCAAGATACACAATGATCAAGCATGTAAGAGATCATGTAAAAAACAAAGAACGGTAATTCTAGTATATCATTTTACTTCTAGCAGTCATCCACACAAGAGGTACATGTCCCTATGTTTGAGAAATTATTAAAATGCGCTCGTTCCGTGCATCCAAATCACGGAGGAGGGGCGCAGGTGAGGCGTATAGAGATCAAATGTCAGAGGCATGCTATATGAAATCTGTGACCCGCTCCTTTAATCAAATGGGAGTTTTCAAATAAGCAAGTGCATATAAAATGGTTGTTTCTGATGCGTTTTGTAACTCACTTCGTAACAATTTCCAAAGAAAGTAATTTTTGAACTCCATTATTTAATTAAAACACATGCTAAGATATAAATAATAAATATATATTCCTTCATTGGGGCGTACAGCGTTCGTAATAATGTTTTGTTCTAGTAGATTTTAGTATTTGCTACAAAAAATTGAGATCTCCCACATGGTTACAACTTCAAGGTTATGTAAAATTCTTTCTTGGTTTGTTGTACATACTACGAGTATCAGAGTAAGTTTAGACAAAAACGACCAGGGAGTTAACTAGTACAATACAGAATACGGAGGCGGGTACGAGTTATGTTCCCTGTTGTGAAGAAATATTCTCTCGGTGGGCTATATTCGATAGGTCTAGCCTATTGGAGTATATTAAATTATACGAATATTTTTTTATTTGGAAAATAAATATAATGAAGGCCGAATAATACACATATTTGTGCCTTTTTCAAATGATTTCTTTTATACCATACATGATCTGTCCAGTAATGGTTAATGGCCTATGATTCATCGACAACTGAAATAAATAGTGAGAAAATATGATGTTCGAGATTAAATGATGATGTTATGAAATTGTCTTATATTTATTGATATTAATGTTTTTGAAGTGTATACAGAGTTTGTTAAGACGGATATTGTACATAAAGGAGTTAACACGTGTATAAAGGCATTTAACAATTGGCATTTGTCACCATTTTTATACTTGTTTTTCCCCCATCTTCTATGTGCAGCAATACTTATTCAGCATTTGACATTTTGCTTTCAATGGTAAGCAATTTGCATTTTGCAATTAGCATGGTCGAATCACTTTCTGAAGCAATAAACTTTGCCATTGATTGCAAATGGCTGTGGCCATTTTCCATCCTTACAAACATTGGTCGTTTTACAACGAATGATCATTGGATACGAGTAATATCTATTTAGTTGAAAATAATACTCTTTTACCGGGTTATCCGGTAACTAATACACTTACTTTTTTTTTCAGAGTGTGTTTACTTAAATCAACAAAAACGCGCATGCGCAAAGATGGCCTTTCAAATTTGAAATACAGAGTAAGGCAACTTAAGCTTCTTCCATTGTACACGTTGGTTCTTGTTTCAATTAACCAAACAGAGCAACTAAGAGCTGACGAAGAATTATATGATATTCATAAACAGTGTCTGAACTCAACGGAAACAATGAAATTAGATATAGCGAAAAAGGCGCAACCTCCTTCAAATAAGACCACGTGACCACAGTGGGTGTAGAGAATTACCTGTCACTGTAAATGAAATTGTTAACAAGTTATGTCTGTAAGTTCTTTTTTTTATTGTTGTTATGTTTTATTTTCTAGAAAAGAAATAAATATTAAGGTAAATAACCCCTTCTTTGATATTCATTTATTTTATTATTATTTTATTTTACCATTATTGTTATTATTCATTATTATTATTATCATTATTATTATTATCATTATTATCATTATTGTCATTATTATTATTATTATTATTATTTTGGTTGTAGGATTTTAAGTCACACTGTCAGTATAAAGGTCATATGACAACTTCTCAGCCTTATCTGTGAAGGAGGATCCGTGAATTATTTCAGCCACGAGCGGGGTACCCGAGTCAAACCACAGGCATTCCGTCAGATACCTGTAAATCTTTAGCATGAATGAATATAAAAGTACATCAATAACTTTAAATGTATTTGATTTCGTCCATTAACTATAAAGGCACTGCCAGAGACATATAATATAGCTCCATGGCAACCAATATTAACCTTTTAGTTTATGCTTCGGACAAGTCCGTGTGTTTTTTTTATTCCCTACGATTATTGTAACCACGTGACCATGTCACGTGCTTAATGATACAATTCTTATATTTGAAAATATTGCGTAAATATTAAAGTATGCCACGGGCGATATGATTTAAAACTGAACCAAATCAAATAAAACACAAGTAATATTTAGTGTTTTTATTCCTACAATACTGTGTTTACAGAACATTGAATATATATATAGAAGTATGTAAAATATAAGTTAAATAACCGGATAGGTTATGTACAAACAACGATGAAATTTTAAAATCTTGTAATTTCTAACGTACCAATTTAAATCAAATTCAATCGATTGGATGGGGTTTCTTCTTTGAAAGATGACGACCGAAGACGCACGGATAGTTACGAAATCAACCGATTGTATGCAAAACTTATATAGTATGCTTCTAAAATATCCAAGTCGTTGTAAACAACAAATAGTTGACATGATTACAGTGACATAACAAGTATCTGTGACGTATTTGTACATTTTCACTTCCTGTCACGTGCAGTCGTTCATCGAAATTGAGCTTTGTTTAAATTCCAACACCTAATTAACATCTGCTAACAAGTCACGAACATCTCAGGACAAAACCGTCAATACTTTGTCTGTAATTGAAAAATATTCAATAAAAACGTTATAATTTCTTGCAAATTAATCGATTTGTCATTGAACTAAAAATACACATAAAGGTCTCGTTAAAAATGTTCGAATATATAAAGGTTAAATTCAGTTATAACAACTTTAGACTTCCTTTTTCTAATGAATGGCCATTTTTTAAATCTAAAAAACCAAGATAGAATTAGTTCACAAAGTGCCCTTAAACTCAAGTTAAGTGTCACACTTAAAGGCACAATATGCCTCCTAAATGTTTTTGTTTTTAATTCATTTTGGTGTATTTTCAAAGAATCAAAAAGATTACATCATTGGCAAATTGCCTGAATGTTGTTTTTTTGGCAATTAGTACAGTTATAGTGTAATAATATTTTGTATGGAAGTCAAAACACTACTTGACGAATTATTGCACATCTACCGCTCTTTTTTATAATAATAGCCATTTATTTTGCATAAGTCATGCAGTACAAATTTTGTGATAAATACTGCATAATCAGCCATTAATTGCATATCACATGTAAATCATTTTTTTGAATTGTTAATAATTTTACTTTTCTTAAAAATCTTAACATTTTTCTCAAGGTAGATTTTCTTGAAATATTTTGTCTCACCTGGAGGCATGTATGTTTAAGATACAATTTTAGTATGTATTCATTATTGAAGAGCCTGTAACTCAAACTTTTTATGGTTTTATATCATATATATGATGCTCAAATTAAGATTTATCAATTTTGTAAAAGTTCCAAAAAAGCATTATTTATAAAGATATTACCAAATTTATCATTTCATGTAAATAAAGGGAGGTAATCGGAAATTAAGTCAAATTTTTCAATAAGAAATGAATGCATATATTTTAATGATTACATATAATGTGGACAAATATTTGCAGTGCATATTTTACATATTTTCGATGTCTGAAAATAGTTTTAGAAGCATAATTATATACATATATAAAATTTCACTTAAATGTGGTAACAACCTTAATTACAACATACAGGATCTTTAAGATAAATCTACAATGTGATAAACTGGGTAAAAAACAATCCTTACATTTCTCCATAGGTATTGGTCCCTGCCTTGGCGACTCCCATGAACTCCAGGCCTACTGCTTGAAATATTAAAAAAAAAAATTAAAAAACGGGAACTGATAAATGACTTTCAAATTGCTTATTCTGGCAAACATAAATTCTTTTATGTTAAAGAAATTTCATTTTCAATTTCGGTGTTACATTAGGAAAATGTGTCACATGCAAACTTGGAAACTTGGAAAGGTGAAGGTTATACTTGGATGTTAGAATAGTACATAAATGTTTGTGTCTGGTCTTATCTTTATCAATTGTCCATGGCTTTATGAAATAATTGGGCACACTAATGTTCCTATCTTTTTGAAACACTCTTTTCCTTGTAACAATGCCTTTGCTGTACACCATGGTCCTCTACTAGGCTCTGCTTTTTTCGGTGGGTGCATTCGTCTGATTTCAACGACAGGTATTGGCAACAGTATAAATCTTACTAAATTATCTTTCGTTTCGTTTGATACTGAATATTAAAAAAACGTATTTTTATTACCTAAGATACTCCTCTGAGTTCGTCACTGAGTTTCGAGATACCCAATCTCGTGTGTATCTGAAATAATGTGAGATAATAATTAGTTTCCGTGACTGTTCGAGAATTTCCGTCACACATCGGCCTGATATATGTGATACATTTCTTTAGGCATGCAGGCTTGGTTCTAAAGCCGTGTTTCAATATTATTATTGATGGCTATAGAGACTCTGAATACAGATTCTTTGTTGTTTTTTGGGGTTTTCCTTTCTTGAATTCAATTGAAGATACGTGGAGCATACTCTCAGAGCCCCTAACAATTAGGTGCGAACCTTTACTAAACTGTCATTGATATAGAGGTGAAAATAGAAAATGAAGCATCTATAATAGTTACTTTGAAACTCAGTGGAAGTCTTGTGAACCACTTTTCAAATAATCACAAATAATGCAAAACCAATGGAAATAGATATACAGATACAGCTCAACCGGAAACTTACGTCACATTCCGTCAAACCTCGGCGGATAAGCGGATGGTATTCAAAGCTTCACATTGAATCGTGTATATTTATCTTAAAAGGTCTCTAGCCTTCTTCTCTCCTTAAACTATCAAATTAAAGAATTACTAAAAGTCTTGCATCAAACTTACGGTTTTCCGTTAGTTTCAGAAACATCGTCATAACTTTTGCTGTTTCCAAACCTTCTCGTGTTGTCAAAAAGACGATCGTCTCCTTGCCTCTGATACGTCGGTAGATACATTGGATTGCTAAGCCGGGAACCACGTTCTGTTTCTCGGTCTCGTAAATCACGTGGGTTGCTATTAATAGATTTTTTAAACATAGAATCACCTAAACCTGAAAATCACTCCAGTAAGTTTCCAAGATGGTATTTGATTTGACCTCACCAATGATCGGATTTCATCAACTTGTTACATGAAGTATATGAGAAGAATGCTAAAGTAAAAAAATAATCGTGCAATAGAATAAACCTATTAGCCATTTATTCGAAAATGTCGATTTTCAACTAATCTTAAAACAATGGTCCTTTCTTAATATTTACCTATGCATGAATTCTAACCAATTAATGTAGGGTATGTTGAGGACGAGTGAAATTAACTACTTTTGAAATCTCGTTTGTCATTTTAAGATATTTTATTTTGCACATTAAACATCTGCAATATCCGGTGTAGATAAGTAAGCGTCTGTTTGACTGGGATCAACAGACACCTTGTCAACATTACCCACGGAATTTAACGATGTTGACCGAAGTTATGGTAAGATTTACTCAAATATTTAATACGACCATGTTGATATCATTAGCTCACCGTTTTTCCGGAGAATCAGCTAGGTCATCGTAACTTCTACTTCTGCTTGATCGTTTTCTTCTATTATCCAAATGATCATAGTCCTGTCTGGGTGAGTACTTGCGATTATCTACGCTCCTTTCATATGATCTGAAATTTATAAAAAAAAACCGAAAATTAGAAATGCTTCTTTAAGCTATTCGACATAAAGGAATCGCGTGCGTACGAAAACCTACGGAAGCCTGTATGGGGAACCTGAATGAATAGAGGATGGACAATCGCAACAATTCGGTTCATATGTTACTGACAAAGGGTTGTAAATGTACAATTTCAATTTTATGTATATCATGATTAAATGTTTAAAAAATTGATTAAGCTGCCAAGAGTGAGACCAAACTGTACAAAATACTAGTTAACCTGGCTAAATAATAAAAACAGGGTACGTTAAAATCTTTTAGGTATTAAAATAATAGTTTTGTTAATAACCTTGCAAATAAATAGAAGCGTTCCAGATACTTACTGATATCCGTAGTCATAAGGGGGAGGTAACGCAGTTTGTGGATATCTTGTGTACATTTCCATATCTATCGTAGAAGGTCCGTCAAGGCCCCTGAAAGTAGTTCAAAACCTGATAAAATATGAGTGTTCAAAACTGTCGGCAAAAATCCTATGCAAACAAAGAAAATGAATACTTTACAAAGCCACTTAGTGACTTTAACAACGATTCTTAGTCTTTTTTAGTGGCTTTAACGACACTCAGTTAGCAAAAAGAACGTCAAAGCGGACATTTCGGTGCAAAATATGACTTTTAAGGTAAGTTGTCCATTTTTTTTTCAATTACAAATAAGTAAATAGAAAGTGAATACTATAATAGTCTTTGGACAATGGTCCAAGACAAAAGGATCGTATATATAACGCCTGAAAGTACGACAGGTGGACATGAAAACGGTTTCTTCCTATTTTCAGTTGCGCTTTACCATAAGATTTCAAATGACACACTAAACACAATGAACGTAATTGCCTATAGTAATAGGTAATGACGTCATACACTGATGAAAGGGTAACTAGCTTAAATACCTTCTGCGTTGTTCGTGCTTCCTATCATTGGCCCACATTTGTACTAACCGCTCCCGCCTGAAAAAGAGCACAATAAAAACGTTTCTAACTTTGTTTCAAACAGCATACCTGTATTCTGGTCCTCGACGCTCTTCTCTTATGCTCTCCCAAAACTCACGCCGCCTGAAAATCACATAGAAACACAAACATACAGAGTCTGGATCTCTTAATTTGTCGTCTGCTGTCAAACGTTAACTTACACGTCATTCATTAAGAGTATGAATGATATTTGCAAAACAAATGTCCCTTTGCGCATTTGAGTTTTCTGTTAAGTTTGTGTTCTATAATAATGTCAACAAAATGTGTTGTGAATCGATGACAAATGCAAAGTTACAAAACAAAACGACATATATTTGCTTCTAAGATATGTTTTTTCAACCTTATAATAAATTTATTAAATGAAATTGTTAAACGATTATTGCTTCAAATTTAGAATCGTGGCCAGTCTGAGAAGAGATAGAGTCAATTACACGATAGATAAAATAGTATTTTGAACGACCATGACATATTAAAACAACAACAAAATATAGATAGATAAATAAATAAATAAATAAATAACAATAATACACAACCGCGAAACTATCAAATTTGGTATTATTAAGACATCTTATTTTTCCTTTATTCTAACTTTTGTCGCAGAATAATTTTCGATTCAGAGCTCCATTTTTTGTTCAATAATGCTTAAATAATGTGTAAAGGGCATGCTTAATTGCCAAAAGAGCAAAAGAAGTGCAAAAGAAGCAAAAAATCTGTTCATCTATATGGCTATTGATAGCTTCTTTAATTCTTTAACAATATACAAACAATAAGAAGTTATTGAGAAATGAAAATGATAGCATTTCGGATGGTGCACAAAACTACGTATTTACTGTCAGTGAATTGTAAAATTGTTGTTCATATTGTGATTAAAATGATTACAGAATACCAAGAATGAAAGATATTTGTCGGTATATTTTATAAAAAGCGATTAAGGCATTCGTAGAATCATCGCCAAACCAACGAAAATAGTACTGGAATGAAATCTGTTCGGACACACTTCATTCTGTTTACTTTCAATATTCATGATATTAAACAAGATAGATTTTCTATGTTACAAATATTTTAAGAAACGACGATAGGATTATGAAACCACATAACTAACTTAATAAAATATTTCATCAAACATATTCTTTTTTGCGTAGACTCATTTGTTAAGCCTTATGTAAAGGTACTGCAATTTGATGATATATACAACCGATTTGTTGAAAATAAAATTGAACGAAAAAGAAACCAGCTTTGGCTGAAAAAAAACAAACTTTATACTCGCACATATGACTTGACTGTATTAAATTTTGAAGGTATTACAATTGATTCATTATTCAAACTAAATTTTGATGCATTTTGAAAGTTCTTTAAGGACATTCTTAATTCTCAGAACCAAAGTTAAGACTTTATCTATAGAACTGCGGCTCAAATATTATCTCAGGTAATTTTCTGAAAGCAGACGATTCGAATAAATTTACTCACTCTCTGCGCCTGCGCCGATCACGTAACACAATGACGACAATCATGACGATCAAGGCAATAACAATCAATCCTGCAATCCCACAAACCACTCCGATTATAATCTTTGATGTATCGTCCAGCGTTTTCTCTGACGGAGTTTGTTCTGGTTGGTCTGCGTGGAAAAGTAGATTTTACATAAAACATTCACCATCTTTCGGACTAGTCTGAAATTTCGTTACAGTTCGACATTTCCCGTGTCTTATTGTCAAAAATCGTCGAACTGACATTGAGCAAAAATGATCCAGAAAATTGAAAGCTTTGCCAAATATACAAATATTCTGGAAACGGTTAGTAACTAATTTGGTCTTACTAACATTTTTATCCATGAAAACCTTTTAACTTTTTAATTTTTCTGTCTTATGGATTTGTACTGCTTTGTGCAGCGCATTCAAAGTTCAAGGATTTTCAACAACTAAATGAAAACAAAAGCTAGCTGGTCAGATTGACGCATTTGCAGGTTAACCTGGCTCTAGATTGGTGACAAAGACTAGTGACTTTCTGTATAGCAAGATGGATGAAAACAGTTATTACTCGTATATTATCAATAAACATTACCTGTGCAATATGGCTTGGAACTGTAACTCCATTGACCATTGGTTAAACAGGAGAACGAAGACGAGCCTACAAGCCGTAATCCGGACACACATGATACGGTGACATCTGTACCGGGTGATAATGAGTACGTGTTCGGTATCAGATCATATACATTATCTTTGGTTATAATGGCGGTGTCCTGAGTGTGTGAACTTAACGGTGCACAGTCTGGAAAAAAGAGTAAGAAATACTTAGATGTGTGAGCCACTGAAAAAGAAGTACAAAATATATATATTTTACTGTCCTTAGAATATTTAAGTCAATGATTTTAACTTCCAATCTTTGTATGTTGTCTTATCACATTACAATATGAATTAAAAGGTCAAACGTTCCTTTGCGTGCTTGACGTTACATGTATAATAACGACACTAAAATTGTAAGTTAACAAAGAATGGTGAAAAATGTGAAAATTTGTTTAAAAAATCATTACACCATTTTTCAGTGCTTTCAGCACTTTGATTAATTAATACACTGTGCTGTTTCTTCAACAAGTTATTTCATCCAGGTGCCAACACATATATGTTCAAATATAGAGACAAGACATGCAATCTATTCGACTTTTCAGCAATCAAAGTAAAGTCCATGTATGATAATTTTTACTTAGTTTGTCAAAAAAATAAACCCTACCCACAATCTTGATCACTTTAATATGTATTATTTCTTTATTGTCATCTAGTAATCAAATACAGTACATGTATGCATGATTATTTCTATTATGTACAAAGATACCCTTCCCCATACCCCTCTTCAGGCGCACCCAAGAAAAAAAAATAATTAGGTATCTAAACGACTGAATCATTATCGTAAAAATCTCAAGTAACTCCTATAAATATGTAAGAAATTTTGAAATTCATTCATGGGTGTAACTCGAATGTTCGTCACAGTCAATGATGCATTGGGTGTTACATATAAAAACGAGGCAGTTTTTATAATCACGATATTAAATACACATTATAGGATTTTTTAGTTACAATCTGAATTTATTTTCTGTCACGGTTTGATTAAAGTCCTCGTTGTTAGATATGGACGGATTAAAAGAAAAATCAAGTCTGTATATACGTATATGTGCACAAGAATAGCTTTATACGTAATTACCTGACGTACGGACGATGTGAAGACGCTGTAGCTCTTGTTATATAGCGTCAAATTTGATAATTTATATAACTTACATTATTACATATCCAGTATTTTGCCAGATGTGTTCTTCGACCAATATCGCTCAAAAGTAAATATTTAAACAAAAATCTGTTGTTTTATCATACTCTATGAAATAGTCTAGGCCTTTAAAATTGATCAAACGGCTGATTTTAGTGTTTAAAATGCAATTAACTTACGACTAAGGCTAAAGATGTTTTAAAATTCAATATATCAAACGTTGTATTGTTAAACAGAATCGATTAAATTAAAATCTTGCTAATGTCAATATATTGTTTTCAGTTCTGAGTTAATCTTAAAACTGTAAATAAATCGTGCATATGTTAAAGTAATATCGCATAAGCGTGCTTATTTCAATAAATTTCATATTTGTAAATACCAATCGAAACGCTTAATTAATTAGAATTTATTTGGAAACAAAATAATAAAGATTGGTTTGGTGGGAGGACAGATGTTCAATCCAAATTCCAGGAGTCTGTAGCACCCACTGTGTCCCTCAGCAATGCCTGAGAGGGCCGGGCGAACTCTCACTATTAAAGCTGAAACGTTAAATTTTAATTCATGTATCAGTGTAAGCTAAATAGCATGCTATTTAGAGATAAAAAAACTTCGGGTAACAAATAACTTACTTGGCATAGTGGCAGATCCTATCCTGGACTAGTTTCCGAAATACAAGAAAATATCTTCTTTATGAAGTATAAACTTCAAAGTTGAAGAGCTTTTTGTCCTGGACGCTTTTTAGAGCAAACCTTCAACAGGAAAGTACAAAAGACAATATTAATATCAAATTCTTTACACTTATGCTCTCATTTTAGGTAAAGTTTATATAATATAATTCACTTTATAAATATGTTATAAATAGAGCCTAAACTGTATCTGTCAAACTTCATTAAATCTCAGTAAAAATGAGATGTTTTTACAGATAAAAAAAATTATTCCGCATCAATGCATATAATAGTTGTTCAAAGATAAAAACCAATACCTGTGTTAAATTAGCAAAGTTTACATAAAACAATAAACAAAAGAAAAAATAAGAAAAATGTAAATACATGTATCATATAAATGTAAAAAATAATATAAATAATTTCCTTTTCTAATCTCACGTTTTTATACAAAATCTATCATAAGAGTATATCTTAAATGTAAGTTTAATATACTTCAGAGGTCACTGTTTTATATAAGTCCGTCAATGCACCAGTGCAAAATTATAAAAAGGACAAAATTCGGTCGAGACAAAATCAGGATAATCAAAATTAATACGCCCGGACTATTTCTTGAGGGCATTTTTCGTATATTTCTTGTACAAATTGTAAACAATACGCCTCGGTCGTTTCACCATATAAATTCAATTAAAAGATTTACTTCATTTAACAGGAGAAATTGACATAATATATTTACTTCAGCATATTTATTTCAGCAATATTAGTTTAACGTAAAGTAATTGAAATATTTCATTTAATAATTCATGATCCTTCACACAATGCTATGACTAGCACACCAGAAATTTCTTTTTTGTTAAGACTAAATAAAATTCATTTAATAGGATTTACTTTAATTAAATGACTTTAATGCTTGATTACAATAAGGCTTCAAAATTAAGTATTTGCTGGGTCTTGGGTTATTGGGGGCGTTGTGAAAGAGACACAAATAACAACATGACAGCCGCCTGAATTGTCTGGTGATATAGAGAATGGAAATTCAAGAAAACGGCTTGAATTTAATAAAATTTATTACATTTTATTTTTTTTGTCTGACATTGTTTTTTTTTTTTAGTAACGAGGTATATTATAGGTTACTAACTATTACGATTTTTCCATTAATTTGAACGCACTTCCGATCTGAGATAGCTGAAATGATGTGTCAAAGCTTCCGATTTTTTCCTGTGTATTATCAAGATCTTATCTTGCCCATTACTTTATTAATATTAAACTTTTAACGATAAATGTTGAATATTTTCGGGTCCTTTCTTATATTTCATGTAGAATAATATTTCATAAAACTTTTATAGCATAGGAAATAGTTTATTTACCGATTTTCCCTTACCATTTAAAAATTTTATGCATGTTATTGTAAAGACATATTTTGTATCTACGTGCGTGCGTGTATGCGCACGTTGGCGAGCACGTGCATATGTGTGTCTGCGTGCGTTTTGTTGAGGGTATGTGGCATCTGTGAATGTCCACAATGATATAATATTATGTTTCATGGTTACTTTCAATTAAATTTGCTTATTGTTTTAAACTAAAGATTTTTGAATGTCAATAAAGGCATTCTGTCTGTCCTTCATATTCATGTACGGACATATTATATGTACAAACTATGCGGGTACAGTGATCATACAAAAGAATAATATTAAGAATTCTATGGTTATCATGTCAACATATCTATATTTATACGGGAAGAAAAAAAGTAAAATTATCTTCCTGTTTTCCCCTATCTTTTTACATTAAACTTCAAATTGTTAAATTCAACAGTCAGAGACAATCAGACAATTTCTAATTACAAGATTAGTTTTTACATTCTATCTTTTGTAAAAAAAATATAAAAAAGAAACAAACATTGAAACATTTGAAGCATGTTTCTTAGTTCATATAAGTTCATTCACTGATAATAGATAAATATTACATGTTAATTGATGCATGGATGTAAAATACGCGTACGAGAGCATTATACATGTATATTATTTCATTATCAAAAAATCAATAATAATTAAATGTCTTTGATTTACATAGATGATTTATATTATGTAAATTATTTAAGGGAAACAATATAAATATACTTACAAAATTTCGTCTGACAAATTAGAAATTAAACGTCCATTCAACATCGAAATCTATGTCTTGCCACGCACCACTGTTTTGAGTAAATACCCACTTTACGATTAAAATAGTATACCCAGGATGCAACTGGATCATAGGTGAGCAAATCTATTTATAGTAGCAAGCAACTAATATTAATGATATATAATTTGGTAGGGTGCTTTTTTGGAATACCGATAGGACCATAGCCCAGCCTGACAGTGCCGTGATTAAACTAACAAACGAAAACGATATTTTGTGAAGGAGTTTTAAGTTTTGATAATGTTAGATGCTTATCACGTAAAAGAAGTATAGCGTTTAATTTAGAATAATTTGTCATAAAAGTAGAGAAATATAGATGAAATGCTGTTGTTGTTTTTTTTGCCATCAATTCAAAATGCCAAAAATTCTATTACTTTACTAATGGCAACCCCCGACCCCACACACACTCACACACAAAAAACAACAAACAACAGCACCCCCCCCCTCCCTAAAGAAAAAAAATAACCAAAAACGCTCACACTACACACAAACGCACGCACAATGTAGTTTCGTGCAGATTGCTAATTATTATTCTCATGACCAGCTTCAAACAAACAAAGATTTCAATTATGTTGTTGTTATTTCATTAGTTTCGAAGTATATAATGACAGATTTCGTCGTTTTTTTATTCTAGCTGGCAGTATTTCATAATAACTGATGTTTATACACAAACTGAACTTAGTTTTCCCTGTACATAATTATACTCATTATCATTATATGGTACTTCTTAACTTGTAAAAGAAAAAAAGAAAAAAAAACAACAATAAACAAAAGAACAGGAATTTCTTTCATGTACATAAAGTTAGTTCCCTATTCCTTATTCCTTATTCCTTTTTCGAATAAGGAATAAGGAATCAGTTCCTTATTCCTTTTTCGAATAAGGAATAGGGAACTAGTTCCTGATTCCTTATTCAAATCTAAATAAGGAACAGCAGAATTAGTATTTAATTAAAATAAAATTTATACCTCATTCAAATCATTGCATAAAGAATCTGCATAAATTATTTTGAAAAAAAATCGAATAAGGAATAGGGAACCAGTTCCTTATTCCTTATTCATCTCCGAATAAGGAACAGAAGTAAATACGTAAAGAAAAGACACCAGTTGCAATTATTTTTGATAAATCTGCATTAGAATTGCAAGGATCAATCATAAAAATCATGAAATAAAGCATTAGCATAAAAATATTTTGGAAAAAAAATGTTCAGGTTCATTCGACTCCGAATAAGGAACAGAAAGAATTACGTAAAGAAAGAAAGCAGTTGCAATTATTATTGATAAATCTGCATTAGAATTGCAAGGATCAATCATTAAAATATTTTTATGCTAATGCTTTATTTCATGATTTTTATGATTGATCCTTGCAATTATAATGCAGATTTATCAAAAATAACTGCAACTGGTGTCTTTCTTTACGTATTTCCTTCTGTTCCTTATTCGGAGTTGAATAAGGAATAAGGAACTGGTTCCCTATTCCTTATTTGACTTTAACATTTTTTTCAAAAAAAAATTATGTAGATGCTTTATTTCATGGTTTTAATGATTGATCCTTGCAATTCTAATGCAGATTTATCAATAATAATTGCAACTGCTGTCTTTCTTTACGTAATTTCTTCTGTTCCTTATTCGGAGTTGAATAAGGAATAAGGAACTGGTTCCCTATTTCCAAAATATTTTTATGCTAATGCTTTATTTCATGATTTTTATGATTGATCCATGCAATTATAATGCAGATTTATCAAAAATAACTGCAACTGGTGTCTTTCTTTACGTAATTTCTTCTGTTCCTTATTCGGAGTTGAATAAGGAATAAGGAACTGGTTCCCTATTCCTTATTCGACTTTAACATTTTTTTCAAAAAAAAATATGAAGATGCTTTATGAAATGATTTTAATGATTGATTCTTGCAATTCTTATGCATATTTATCAAAAATAAATGCCACTGGTGTCTTTCTTTACGTATTTCCTTCTGTTCCTTATTCGGAGTTGAATAAGGAATAAGGAACTGGTTCCCTATTCCTTATTCGACTTTAACATTTTTTTCAAAAAGAAATTATGTAAATGCTTCATTTCATGATTTTAATGATTGATTCTTGCAATTTTAATGCAGATTTATCAAAAATAATTGCAACTAGTGTCTTTCTTTACGTATTTTCTTCTGTTCCTTATTCGGAGTTGAATAAGGAATAAGGAACTGGTTCCCTATTCCTTATTCGACTTTAACATTTTTTTCAAAAATATTTTTATGCAGATGCTTTATTTCATGATTTTTATGATTGATCCTTGCAATTCTAATGCAGATTTATCAAAAATAATTGCAACTGGTGTCTTTTCTTTACGTATTTACTTCTGTTCCTTATTCGGAGATGAATAAGGAATAAGGAACTGGTTCCCTATTCCTTATTCGATTTTTTTTCAAAATAATTTATGCAGATTCTTTATGCAATGATTTGAATGAGGTATAAATTTTATTTTAATTAAATACTAATTCTGCTGTTCCTTATTTAGATTTGAATAAGGAATCAGGAACTAGTTCCCTATTCCTTATTCGAAAAAGGAATAAGGAACTGATTCCTTATTCCTTATTCGAAAAAGGAATAAGGAATAAGGAATAGGGAACTAACTTTATGTACATTACTTACTTTGCTAAATTAATGTTTCACAGCAAGAAAACATAACATTGTTATTGTAACAGATTTGAACAACTTATAATATACAGAAATTACGTAAGGAAAATTTAACAGAATTTCAGACAGTTTTTGCGAATGAAAAACTTCAATAGATAAGTAGCTTTTAATTCACCCATCAACTACATTTTAGAATATTTGTCAGATATTCTATCATGCATAGACATACCAAATAAGGGTGTCGAATTTTTTGTATTATTACAATTTTCAGTCAACTATAACATGGGCTTTACGGATTAATGAAATGTGGAAATTGCGTTTGGGCGTTTTTCTTGTGTCGTGAAGCATTAAGTGTAAAACCACTTAAGCAAGTTTTGTGGTTGAAATGTTTTACATGATTTACATCAGATTCAATTCATTTGCATAACATCAGACGATAACAATCTTTCGAAATGTTAATAAAGTTGAAAATTGTACTATATATAGAGTATGAAATATTTCAATTTATTCGCCTATTTTATAAGACCACGTAAAAACTCTCATTTATTCGAACAACAAAACAGCACGAAGGCGCATTATTAAAATTCTCAACGGGGTTTATTGGTCAATATAATGTTTGTAATAATAATAAAGTCTTTGTGAATTTGTTTATTAAAATGTTGCAGCTGAAGCTGAATTTTATCTAATTATGTCACACAAAGTAATAAGTCTATAAGGCTGTTTATATATCTTTTATTTATTTATTTATTTATTTTGAAAGTCACAGTTTACTTGGGATTAAATCATAATGGACTGAAGCCAACTATTACATATTCGTCGTTGAGTTGAAAACGTGAATTTAAAAACTTGAATTCATGAAGTTGAAAAATCTTAAATTGATTATGTTCAAATCGTGTAATCGTGAATTCATGAAGACAAAGCCGAGAATCCAAGAAGCTGAAATGCCACCACCGGTCTTTCAGATATTCGGGACTTGGTGTTGAAATTCAGCTATCAACAAGTTCGACACATAACCAACTGAGCACATTTGGGAGAGTATTACTTCTACGAATCTCTGACTCATAGCGATGATTTGCATTGGAAATACATGTATATATCTAATGGCATTCAGGGCCTCATTCAGCCGTCTTTCCAAAAAGACTTATGCGAAGAAACTAGCAGACACGTGCGGTTATAGTAAAAAATATTCTATTAATATTAAGCGAAAAGAACATAGAATATGACTTTGTCTGTAAAATCAAATCGGGTACAGCATTCACGTATAGCAGGGGAAACAATTTAGTCAGTCAGGGAAGGGAAGAGGAGAGAAACATTTATGGAACGAAAGTCGTAAGCCAATACAGTTATAAACGTGAATTACAGGGAAGGTTCTACAACTGCGTAAAACTCTGTAGAGTATGGTATGGAATGAACACAGTATTAACTAGATACCACAATTTCCACCTAAGCATTATTTCGCTATGCTTTTGCTCGACTGAAAACTATTTCAGGACTTTCTTCTTATCTAACTGAAAGAAGCAAAATAAACCAATGGCAGATTTTCAGTTTAGAGAAAATCCAAATATTTTTTAAACATTCTATGATAAAAAACACATAAAAGACAACTTTACAAAATATAATGTTTTTATTACAGAATTGCAGTATAGAACATAGATAAGAAACATGTATAGTTTTGAAGTATATAACAATAAAGAAAAGATACAATCGTACACCATTCACAATATGCTTTCAGATACACATGTACGGTGTTTTTATGCTTACATTGTAGTGATTTGTACCAATATCAAACTTCTTATTTGAACGAGAGACTAAAAAGGTATAAAAATGATAAATAAGTCAACCATTGAAAGTTTTCTCAATTGGAAAACCTGAAGATTTCAAAAGCAAATGTATCACACAATTATTCTCGTACAGTACGGTTTTACCATTACAACCCTTAAGATACACGATTTCTGAAATAGACTTTCAGATCATCTTCCATTTTTATATTGCCCATTACTAATTTTGAGGATATCAAAGTAAAAATTCCGTTGTTATTCAGCCAACAGTACAGAGCTTGATCTCTTATGATGACAAATACGTCACTTCCGGTTACATCACTTCCGGTTTCTGTCAGTTCAAGATTAATATGACTGTAGGAATGAGCTTGACAAGTCGGAATATTTAAATGAATCCCTTAAACGAACTTCTTTGATCTAAATTCCTTTCTAACGACTTGGAAATAAACAATTGATTTGATTTATACAGAAAGCATTTCTTTTCATTCCTGTTAATCTTACTATATAAAAAATGAAAACAAAAACGAAGAAATAATATAATATTTAATCATGAAGTAGTTTTCCTCCAAACTAGTTGATTTTTGTTATATAATTATACATTGTACATAAAAACATTTATCTTCTTGCATCCAGCCATAAATCGGGTATGCATGACACGCCCTTTTTTGTACCACAAACATAGCACACCCATTCATTTACATATTATGCACTTTAATTTGAGAATACACACTAATTAATACACTATATAACTATATATAACACAGTCGAACATTGTAATGCAATATTTTAATATATGTTTTTGTTTAGTTTGTAATATAACACTATCTAGATGGAAACATGGAGTAAGAAAAACTGTGTTTTTGTAAAATAAATGACTTTATAATGTAAATCAAAATATATTAAACCTCTAAATGTTTGTGGAAACAATGCCTTGTAGAAACAATGACTTGTAGAAACAATGCCGGTAATAACATAATGAAACATGGTGCTTATGAACCAAATATTCTATTTAAATTGGGAATGCAAAACGGGAAATACTCTCCCACCCACACCCTCTGCCAACAAATGCAAACAAGTTCAATTATGACCATTGTTTGCATGTTGTCTTTCCTTATCTATAAAAGACATCCACTTGTGTAAATATAAAAATGATCAACAAATAAGCGTGGACATCTGACTAAGTCAGGGCGTGAATCATAGTTCCAAAGTACTTAATAAATTTCACAAGGTCTATTATGATTTCATGAATGAATAATGCAATAAAGCAATATTCAAAAAAGGCAATATTATAGACTAAGAAAATGCGAGCTATTGAGAAATTTCTATTTCGTTGTCTTTTTAAAATGTTGTTGAAATGGACGTCGCAGACGACTTTGATTGGGTAGGGTCAAAACTATGTATACTATTTTTCTTCTCTAGGTAGTGGTTCACGTCTGTGTCGTCCTGGAAAATAAAATGAGCCGTGTCATGACAAAACCAACATAATGGGTTTGCGACCAGCATGGATCAAGACCAGCCTGCGCATGCGCGCAGTCTGATCAGGATCCATGCTGTTCGCTATCAGATTCTCTACTTGTTATTGGGTTTGTAAATATAAATTCTAAGCTTCTAGGACAAAAGAAAAAATGCAGATCCTAACTGATTTAAAATTAATCTATCTCTAAATTTGATATTATATTTTTCAAGCGGTTAGGTGACAAAATTCCATGCTGCTCTATGTGATATAAACGCTTATTTGTTTTAATCAGGCACGGAAATAGACAAAATATCGATTCATATTCAGGTACTTATCTTGCATGTATTTCATTAATTCTTTATTGTTTTGGTATTATTTAACTTACCGGCATGTCATTATGAAGATGTTTTGATGATTTAGCTCCACAAGAAAGGATCGTGTCCCATCTTCAGTGCACGTCTTAAAAAAAGAGAGTAAACATTCTATGATAAAAAACGACACAAACTCCAATCTTCAAAAAGCTAAATATGATTATACGATAACATGTAAACAATAAATTGTTGTCCAAAGTAATGAAAGCAACAGCGCCATATCATCATTATGTTATAAATATACGGTTTTTAAACATTTACATATAATTATGAATATTTCCATTAAAATTAAAATCTTTAAAAATGATTTTAACATGATAAATAAGTAATCTAATTATATTCTAGAAACTTTTGTGACTATGGCAAGCCGTTTTTAAAAATATATACAAATTGGTTGTTCTTTTGTGCAATATAACGCCAGTCTTAACACAATTTTACCAATTTATCATTACTAAACTGTTTGGATAATAACATTCTATATATTTTTTTTTATCGCTGACCATTAAAAATGGGCCGCCTTAGCAGTCGAGTTCACAAATCTGAGCACTGTACCCGAATTTCCCCCATTTCCTCCAATCGAAATAAAAATATCCTAAATTGTACATATTAATTTTCCAGGCCAGAATGAATTATTTAGTCATTCTATGAGACTTTCCTTATCACAAACTCATTGAACAACAACCATTGGTCAATATTTTTTGCAGTTCCTTGCCATATCACTTTTAACGCACATAAAAACTTTTAACGCTATCAGGCACATAAAACAGATGAGATGCTCCGAGGATTCACGTAATTATGTTGGATGTGACTTGAAAAATCGAAAAATATAAATTGTTTAGCCTCTTCCAAGAATGCTAGCGGTGACAACTACTTTCCCGTGCAGTCAGGCCAGTCTGTGTACATCCGCGCAGGGTAAACAGGTTCCACATTGTACTTCTTGATTTATGAGTTGTAGCATTTTAAGTCACAAAAACCCACTCTTATTAACAATGAAAATGAAATAATTGACAGGACAGGACAGTACGTTATACAACTTAAAGGTAGCAAGGGATAAGTTAAATGTCCATGTGTAATACGTACTCGTTAAACTGTGACGGGATTTCAGGGTTTCTTCTCCATTCACCAACATACCTGAGAAAAAAAAAAGAAATTATCGGTAGAGTTATCTGTTGTGTCTCAATTATATAGCTAGAGCATATCAAAATGTCAAAGAATCATGATTTAAAATACATTTTATCAAAAATCTATTCTTAGCAGAAAACAAACTTATGTTTTATTGGCCTAATGTAAACATTTATTCAATTTGCAGACGTAACTCAAAATCTAGGTGACTAAACACACTATTCAAGAGACAATATTCAACTAAGAAGAATGGTTTGTTAATATAAATTCTAATTTATAGAATACTATTCAGGTCTACAGTTGGCACATTGCCAAAAGCCATTGTGTGCAAAATCTTGCGCAATGATATAAAAACATGACTACTCACGCAGAACCTCCTCTGACGTCATGGAAACTTCTGGATCTCCTCATACCGGCTGCTCCTCCGCCGCCCCCGTAGTATTCCGAACGTCTCATATTGTTGCTACGCGACAAAAGAGCTTGATCATCCACGTACCTGTAGATTAATCAAATGTATTTTTATTTAAGATTAGCTATATATTTAACTTGTATGATAATACACGTGACACATTAATACGCCTAAAAGAAAACACATTTTTGTAAAGAAATAGTTTATATACCAAGTGTGTTGATCTTCTGTAATTGTCTGTTATATATCTATTTTAGCATTAAGAAATGAAACCTTATATGTATCTTAAATCATCATTGGAAAAAATATAAGTTAAATTAAGTTGGAACTATATTTTAACTGCGTAACAGATATTCATACGCATATACATCAACTCAACTGCTCTAAACTAAAAAGCAAATCTACATGTTTATACAATTAATGCATTCTTATATTCTACTTAAGGTATAGTTTAACAGAAAACTACATTTTTACTAAAATTTACGAAATAGCTTCATATACAGTATTGAAATTATGTGATCATGAACTACAGACTGTACTAGAATTTTCATAAATATGTCCATTATATTTGTACATTACTGATAAAAAAAACTGTCATGATCAATATTTGAATTTAATCTTAACTATATATATAAATTTAAGCTCTTATCGGTGGTATTTCATGTAGCATTGACATAGATTCATATTGTAATTAGTATTTTAAAATACCCACAATTGAATTCCACTTACGTGTAACATAAATAAACATATTCTAACATTATTTTCTTAAGCATTAGCTAGGTAAGATAAGTCATTTTCAGTCCTAGGCATCAGCTTGAAATTTATCACACTATAAAATTGATAATTGAATCAAGTAGAACTGCCACTGTCACGGCGTGAATACCCCCGCATGCCTCTTTGTCAGAATCAAAAGTGGCCATTAAGAGCTAACGGACAACCTCCCTGCCAAATATGAGGTCACAAAGTCAGTGCATTGCTAAGTTATGTATTCTACATGCTTCAAATGTGAAAATGTCAAAATCAATACACTGTGGACAGGCATTCTTAAGCATTTAATATACATGCTTATTGTAGTAAAAATCCCTGTGACCTTGATCTTAGACACAGTCATCTAAAGATCAATAGGGGTCACCTAATGGTCATGATTAACCTCCATGCCAAATATGGAGACTGTAGGTCAAAGGTTTCTTTGGACATTGGGCGGACAAACTTTTTGAAGTCAAAGTCCCTGTGACCTTGACCTTTAATCCAGTGACCTAAAAATCAATAGGGATCATCTACTAATCATGACTAACTTCCATGCTTAATTTGAAGACTGTGGGTTAAAGGCAGCTTAAGGTATAGGGCGGACAATCCTTTTATAGTCAAGGTCCCTGTGACCTTGACCTTTAAGCTAGTGAGCTCAAAATCAATAGGGATCATCTACTAATCATCACTAACCTCCATGTCAAATATAAAGACAGTGGGTCAAAGGAATCTTAAGTCATGGGCTGACAAGCTTTTTTTAGTCAAGGCCCCTGTGACCTTGACCTGGTGACCTCAAAATCAATAGGGATCATCTACTAATCATGACCAATCTAAATACCAAATATGAAGACTGTTTTTCAAAGGAATCTCAAGTTATTGGGCGGACAAGGAAAAACCGACGGACGGCCGGACGGGAAGACGTCCGGACGGCCGGACAGCCGACAGACGGACGTCCGGACGGACAAGCTGATTCCAGTATACCCCCTTACAACTTTGTTGTGCGGGGGTATTATAACCGATCAACTGATGTTGGTGAGAATGTATTTAGCATAAACCGGTTCAGCATTCATCTGAACTTTTTCCAATACTCAGTCACACTAACATTTTTATTATAAATATAGTATTTAGCAGTTTAAAAGTATTTAGCATTTAATATAATGATACTTTCATTGTTTAGCACCATATGAAGCACTGACCTAAGGAACTATACTGCATTTAGCATAACTTAGCATAAAGTTAAATGTTCATAAAATTACTTAAATACTAGGATTATAATTATAGTTTCTATATTTAGCATTACACTATATTTAGCATTAAATATTATGTTACTTTAAATAGATTTATAGTTCTTATTTCCTACTTTAAATAAATTAGACTAAAATATTTTATATTTTTCGTAAGGTAAATATATCCATCGACAGCACGTAGGCTATCAACTCGGCATTTTTCGTTATTTTCCGTTGTGTAGATATAATGCAAAGAGATTTTATCTCACGGAATGTTTCGAAATGGCCGAATGTTTACGGGCTAATGATGGATGTATAAATTATCATATTAATTACGCATATATATGCAAATACAAATGTATATATGCAGGCACTAAACTAACTGCTTTGAACAAAGTGTTCTTCAGCTTCTTCAAAAAAGAATTTCCACAACTTTTAAAGGACCACGCCTTAAATCGCATTTTTTTCATTCCAAAATATGATAAAAATTTAAGCATAGCATCACGTGTTAAACCGCTGTAGCAGACGTAACATAATGATAGTATTTCATTTTAGTTTCAATTAATCATTCTATTCATGGCGTTTTGCATATGTTACGTCGTAATTAAAGGCGTGCCCCTTTAAAAAGTCTACCGAGATGTCTGTTGGACAGACTGAAGAGGTCGGTCAGTTTGGAGAAGTTGGTCAATTTGGCCAGACTGCCCAGATTGAGCGGTTGTGACCACGTCAGTCATTACATGTTGATCAGTTCTTACATTTTGACTGTAACAAATAAGCCATGATTAAATATAACGTACTATGTGGTAATATGTGACGCGTGCACATGCAAAATGATGACGTCATAATGTATGCATCATCAGGAATGTTTTGTATATTGTATATACAATGTACACCTCCCTGGCACCGTTTTTGAAATAAAATCGTTTTATATAATACGTTCAGTTTACTCATATCTAATGTATAAATATTTATTTTACATGCATATCCGGTGATATTGTCGTCATACAGTGACGACATAATAGTTTACATTGATATGATTTAATTGAAAAAATGAATAACATTTAATTATATAATTAATCATATGACATTGGTAAATTCATGAAAACATAAAGACACCTTAGGAACATCAAGTTATAGCATAGTTTTTCAAGTAGTATGCAACTGACATACATTTATTGCATCAAGTTATTTAGATAGTACCAAAACTGTTAAAAAATTCAAAAATTATAATGTCTGTATTAATAAATTTTCAAGTTTAAGTAAATGGGATCCATTAGACAAAAAGACCAAAATAAACAAAACTTCATGGCAAACAGTTTATGCATGCCATAATATAATTAATACATGTATTTTCATATAGATTCTTATTCGGATATTTATAATCTATCTTTATGGAAAAAAAACTTTTAATTAATATGATATTGTTTTGACAATTGATCATGCAATGTACACATAAATTAAGACTTTATGTAAATAATGTAAAAATATATGTTAATATTTATCTTACATTTCTTATATGAATTGTGTGAAGTCATTAGTTAATAAGACGGACATCTTGTAGATAGATATTCCTGTTTTCCAACTACTTAGATTTAGATAAACTAAAGAATCCGGTGTATAATTAAACCAGAAAAAAAATAATAAAGAGAGCAACAATTGATATGCCTTTATATATGTAATGTCTTATATCTTATACAGGCCATATACATGCACAATCACAACATAGGGAACTATGTTGATTGGCAGCTGTATTTGGTATGGCTTAATGTTTAATTCTGTAAAAAAATAGCAAGACATTTGTTTTCTTATATGCAGCATAACTAAAAGCAATTACAATTGACTTACCGTACGTTCTGAGTATTGTCAGTAACATATCTATATAAAAAATAGAAGTTTTATGGGTTTAAAGTTTAAAATAAAGCCACCATAAAATGATTCGCACAGCAGCTAGTTCGTACCCAAGCTTGTTCGCACTTTAGAAAGTTCGTACTTAGATTGTTCGCATTTTGCATTTAAAGCGTATGTTTTCAAGAAACTAACCTACACAAACATACTTTTCCCTAAATGTATCGTTATGTATATATAGAATCTTGCAGGAAGTATTATATATATATTTTTTATGAAACGAGGTCAGTAATGTGCAGTTAAGTGAACTTTTGGCGAGGTTGATAAAAAGATTTTCGTGGAGAAGTATCATAAAAATGCAAATCAAATTACAACTCATATCAAATTCTTTTCATCACGTCATCCCACATCACAATTTAACCCAAACAACTGTATTTGCAACTATAACAAACGTGTAACACATAAAAAAAGTTGTGTTGTATTACACACATGGACTATTATGAGGGTATTATACATCGTTGAGTACAATACGGAATTCTATTGGATGAGTACACAGCCGTCAATACTATATTGAACTAGACGCAAGCCGAATCTGATACAAGTTTTGCAGCTGTGTACGAGTCCAATAGCATTAGTATTATTTTCAACCCCTTTATTTCACACCATAATATTTTGACATTTTGATAGAACTTTGTTACTTCAAGAACATTAAGGATTTGTTACGGATATCCATAATCAGTTCAATAAAAACAAACGATTTTCTTAGCTTTCGATACTGTGTCCTCTCCAGAAAAAATGACGTTTATAACAACACATTTTTTACGGGTATTTAGTAGGCATATCATAACTAATAATTTAAGATTCATAACTAATTAAAGACAAATCAGCAGACAAAATGATAACTGAAATAAAAGTTCTTGATCATCAAATAAACACTTTACATATAAGCTAGCTGGTTCGTGAACGACTTTAGAAAAAAATCATGCAGAGTCCCATTGCAGTGCTCATTTCACCAGAAAGTTTAACCAGACATGTACTGAGGTAGTCATGAACAAATTCTATTAAAAAGGATAGTTTTGTTAAAAAAAAATTGTTCTAAATGTGCATAACCACCTCAATGTCTTATACCTTACCGCTTAAGTCTTGCACGATCCACTACAAATCTAGAAATTCGATAATATTGTTTTTATTTCCATAGAAATCATGCTTGAATAATAAAAATCATCTCTAAGGTTGTTACAAGGCTAAACGTTTTATCTTTGTAATATTTGAGAATAAAATACTAAAGCAGAAAGTTGCAGAAAGAAATCAAAGATGATAAAACTCATTTAAAAAGTCAACGAATATTCTGCTGAAAAGTTAGATAAATGAATTAAAAAAACATAATTTATAGTAAAACTTTGAGGAGGTCCCATGGTAAGAAATGTCGTCTCAACGAATCAAAAGTCTTAAAAGATCCAAAGCATTTTTTAGTTGAATTTGATAGACGATTAGATTTTGACCAATGGAATACAAGTTTACATAATGTGGTTTAAAAGACGTCTAAACAATGGGCGAAAGGCCAATTACCATTGGTCACTGTTCGTATTTTGATTTATTTTGTTAGACGAGAAAATCTGTAAATGATCCTGAAAACAATTGAGTTTGTGAATGTTTTCTTGGAACAATAAAGTCAAGCTGCGTGAAGTCATACAAAGGACAGAAAGAAACACAATTCAGCCATTTAAAGAATATAACTGGTTAAAATACGGAACATCTAAAAATAGTTACATCTAAAAATGGTAAAATCTAAAAATAGTAATTTCATAATTAATACAAGGACGACTGTAAGTTGCGAATAGAAAACAAGCTCGGTTCAGTCGTGAAAAGACAGAAATAACTAAAGATTTTTGCACTCACTTATAAAAAGGAATTACAGATATCATGGTAAGATATTTAAATTAAGAATTCATACGTATAATACATTACAGGCTGCTTTGAAATGTTTCAATGTTAAAATTAATAAAAAAAAACTTGATAATGTTATTTCGAAGGACATGTTTTGTTATTCGTAGAACATACAAATCGTGTAATATGTGCAAGACGGTCGTAACTCTTCTTTTTTGTCAAAATGAGCTGTTACATTCTTCAATAAGAAGAAAATATGCAAATTAATTTTGTTTATCTTGTCTGTATTTGATTAAGTTACTAGATAGAAGTGCCAGAATAAATCTAAATAGGACTTTCATAACTATATGCGACTGATTGAAAACTATTTGAATCATTTAATTCCTATATCTGTATATATTTAAATGTTATATGCCCAAATAAAGTTATATGCCCGAATCAAATTATATGACCAAATCAAGATAACGAGAAAGGATATAATATAACAGACCTTCTCAAATTACCAGCTTCTAAATTCATTGCAGATAATTCAAGACTTACAGATATTGAAAACTTTTAATTTTTTACTTAAAAGTCGCATAAAGTTATGGAAGTCTAACCCTGTAAAAGTAATAGCAACCTTTTTCGTCTCGGCCTGCTGTAATAAAATTATATGTTCATAAATATTACATCTATTACCATCACATAAATACAATATCTACTCTGGAATATATAAAACATGCAAATGTGCATATGGTTGTAAGGAAAGTGGTTCTAAAACTATAGAACAAATACGGAAATTTGAAACTGGTCACTTAAAAGTTTTCCGTTTCATACGAAATACGGTTAGTGCCATTTTAAGTATATTATGTGACATTTTGAGATCGACGCAGCATACAACATGACCTATGACAATGCAACACGACTAATGACAATATGCTACTACTCATGATCATTAAAAATGTTGCAATGTCCTATCGCGTGTTCTTCAAATGCCATTTAACAGCAACATGTGATATTTTAAAAATGACACTTACGGTACTCCGTATTTTCCTCTTGATTACAATGAGCCTATTTTAACTATATATATATTGACCCAACAATGGACAATGTTATTCTTTCATCAAGCAATAATAGTTAGCATACATCAGCATATTCTGTACGGCCTACGTCGTTTAAAATGTTTTCACGCTATCATTATATCGTTTCATTTTAAAATGCTACACGTAAACCTACTTAAAATAATGACATCTGTTATCTTGTTTGAGAGAAAAATCAAGTGATTAAATTCACGCTATAACTTTAATTGATTTTACATTTACTTTTACAAATACTATCGGTAGATCAATGAATTTAACAACATATCTAAAGCACAGCGTTCAAATCATGCATTGAAAAGCATGCATTGAAAAGCGTATCAGAAATAAAATACGTATATATATTCTTATTTCACAGTTACTTCTTTAATCACCTTAGGCCAATTTTGAAGATTTTCTTATATTCAAATGTTATATCTATTCTTAGGCTACATGTTTTTAAGTTGATTAGAGCAATAAAGTTATTTAACTTCCACCACGCGTGATTTAAGGTATGAAAAAAGTATCATTTTTTGTTTATTATTCTGGTGGGATCTAAAATGAGCGCAGGTAAACACGGAAACAAAACCTACTTGAGGTAGATCGTGTCAGGCTCCCTCCGAGGCGCCCTCGAGCTCACGTACTCTGGTTCTGCCATTGGTACAATAATAGGCTCGTTTCTATAACCTCCCATGTATCGATCACTGCAAATACATGTAGCATAAAACATGACATCATGTAGCATGAACAATACATCATGTAGCATAAAACAATACGTTATGTAGCATAAAACAATACATTATGTAGCATAAAACATGACATAATGTAGCATAAACATAACATATTGTAGCAGAACACATTACATAATATAGTCCAAAACATTACATCATGTAGCATAAAACAATACATCATTTTGCATAGAACAATACATAAAGTAGCATAAAACATTACATTTTACGTAAAACATTACAGTTTATTTCACTGAGAACGAGTTCGGTTAAAACGAAGTACCTACACTCTTCTAAGTCGATGCCACTTCAGTTTTATTTACCTTTCGTTTTATACCATATTTATTTAAGCTTGGTTGTAAAAAACGATTATTGCCTATATGTAAACAACTTTTGAGTCTCCTTCCTGGACCTTATAATTACCAATATTGATGCCATATAAGGAAGCATGGGTCCGATTTAATCAGTGTTCGAACCAATGACCACTGTGTTTAGATGAAGACAGCTCAACCACTTAACCAAAGTTTTCTTCCTTTTTTAACTATCTCCTGTTTTTTTATATTTATTTTTGTCACAACCTTACATTTTCTTATTTT